ACTGTATTCCCTATACTCTTGCTGAGTCCTTGTCAGGGCTTGAAGTTCATCTGGTTTGTTAGCTAATGATCTCACGTTGCCCATTAGGATTGATGGAAGTGATGGTTTGAAATTCCTCCTTCTCTCTCACCTCGTTGCTCCAGCTCTGCATCCACGATGCCTCCTTTTCAACTCATCTGGGATTTGCGGCTTCAGTTGATGTATTATTTCAGATTTTGCAATATTAATSAGCTGCTCCCTGTTGTAAACCACCCTGTTGCTATGGTTACGCATCATAACAAAAAGCAAAGTATAAAAAAAGTATTGGCAAAAACCAATCCAGCTGCACAGCACCCAAAACACAAATGAACAGCCGTCCAAAAACGTTACTTTTTCCGCAGAAAGGCAGGAATGAACGCCTGAAAAGAAAAGAAAATCTCAATAAAAGTAACAGAGCTACTCCAACATGCTGCCACGCTCAGCGGCGCAATTCCGGAACATCCTGGCAGAGTCTCCCATGGCAAACCCCAGACAACATAGTGCCCAGGATCATATACTCAAATCCTTACACCATGTTAAGGTGGCAATTCTTTGAAGTAGAGAAACACCATGTTGTATCAGTATAAACCAAGTGGAAGGAGGTATGGTGAAAGTAGAAGAGTGCCTAAAACTAAGCCTTGTGGGACTCCACAAAAAGCAGAGGTTGACATTGAACCACCAATATTGACACGGAATTTTTGATTTGTCAAATAGTGCTTAAACAAGTTCAAAGCTGATTCCCACCCACTACTACTACAAATGAAATAGCGGTACATCACTTCAAAAGCAGCCATACTATCTAAAAACACAAGAATGACAGTAACAGGAATCAGTAGCTAAAAGAATGTCATTAAAGCTGATTTGGTGCTGTTAATGTTTTAAAACCAGATCCAGATTGGAAATCCTCAAAAATATTATGCTTCTTGAGAAAAGTGATAAATTGATTGTGTACTACTTTCTCAATGCATTTAAAAAAAGATGAACCTTAAGGGTTTTAAGTTTATTCATTTCAATTCAGTTGGTAAGTTCACATTCAACGTAATGATGTTCATACATGTCATGTTGTCTGTAAATTACATAAAATTTCCTCATTTACATCACAAATAAAAAAATCTTGCACATTATTTAAAGCTTAATGTTTTTTATCTTATGTCTCATTGCCTTAAAGGAACAGTGTGTAGGATTTTGTCAATTCTTTTGGCCGAAATTGAGATAATCACTAATGACAATAATAAAAACATGTCTAATCATTGCAGAAAAAGACTTTTTTTATTATTTTTACCTTATAAAAAGCTGTTTAAATCTCCATGGTCGCGTGTCGCCACACAGGCAGCCGCCATCTTGCACCGCCGTCTTGTCTACAAAGGCTCGTGAAGGACAAACTGCAGTGGCAGCATCAAAAACGGTTTTAGTTGTAATACTATAAATGTAATATTTGTTGTGTGTCATTAGCTACGTTTACATGGACAAAGGTAATCGGATTAAACAGCCGTTCGGAATAAAAATGCGTCATGTAAACAGCCCATTCCGATTATTCTGATCTGTTTGAGCTCGATCCGAATGAATTTTTAATCTAAATGAAAAGGGTGGGTTATGCCGATTGATAATCGGAATGAGTTTCATATAAACACATAATCGGATCATCTTATTCTGATTGTAGAAAACCGACCTGTGCGCATGTCTGCTGACTTTCATTCACCCGGTGGGACAGTAGCGCTGCAGCTGCGTAGCACCATGCAGAGCTTTTCCTCCTCGCTCTCTTAACAGATGAAAAATGAGGCAAACAGCAGATGTTGCTTCGCAAAAAATAAAAATAAAAAGCACGTATTGCTTCATCTGCAGGCTGCAGCTCAACCAAGGAGTAACGGCGTCTCTACCGTTATTAAAAGCTGACACGGGTCCATCCTGAGCGCACAGAGGAGCTTTGTTTACGTTTGTAACACGGAAGTAGAGCTGAAAGTTTACAACACTGTGCATGTCCGGACTTTTATTCTGAATAAAACTCCGGTGCATGTAAATACTTTTCATGATCGGATTGTGTCCATGTAAACAGTACATTCGGATTATTTAATCTGAATACATTTCAATCCGATTAAAAAATTTTGTGCATGTAAACATAGCTGGTAGAATTTTACTTATTAAAGCTCATAATCTTACCATTTGAAACATCACTAGCCCTGAAGCTGCTGGTAGACATCGCGGTTGGAAATATCAAAGGTTTTTGACACCTGAGAGACACCGTAGCGTTTGGAAGCGGTTGTGGGGGTGGGGGGAGGACCAGGGAGGATGATTCAACCACTCAACCACTAGATGTCGCTGAAAACAACAAATCCTAGACACTGTGCCTTTAAGTAATGTTGAGTTTGCACCTTCCTTCTCCTCCTCTTAACTTAAACTACCCTCAGACAACACCCCCTTCACACACACCGCTCCATCATTATTTGTTAGGTCCGAGAAAAGATAACAAAAGAAAAGAAAAGTTCAATCCCACCTTCACCAGTGGTGGTGGGTGGGTAAAAATAAATCAAGACTTTTGACCAGATCATGTCATCTGCATTCACTCACCAGCTTTTCCCCTTCTTTCTTTAATATTGATGACTAAACCTGTTTTCCACACCTTATTTTAGTTCCTCTGTACATTTTAACTAAATCACACTCAGGTGAGAGATCTGCGGACCACTTATTGCAGTTTATGAGGTGGTGCAGAGTATTCTTGAGGAGGACAAAGCCGTGATCTCTGTCTTCTCAGTCTATCTCAGACCCTTAGTGGCAACTCTCAACCACTTAAGAGTCCTCTGGAGCAGTCCTAACTTTTCGGGAGAGCAAGAGTGATGCTTAAACTAAAGAATTTTGATAACTTGCTTTTACACAGTGCTGTGTGAATGGGTAAATGAGGGCACTGATTGTAGTGTAAAGCGCTTTGAGTGTCCTGGATGGATAGAAAAGCACTATGTAAGTACAGTCCACCTTTTACAATCTGCCTGTCTCTGATTGGTTATTTCTGAATGGGATTGGTGTATTTCTACGATTGGCAGTAGGACAACTGGAAGGAACCAGAGGACATTTATTTTTTCACAGATTATCTGTCACGTGCTGCTGTCAGGAGATAGTGACATTTTAAACAAATGTGTAAAAAATATATTTTTTAAAAAGTTACATACTGCAGCTTTAAGGTTCTCACAAGGATATAAAAACACAGCTCTATGTTGCTTTCTCCAAAAACATTCTTCAAAAAAAGTCTAATTTTTTTAATCAGCTATGACTGATCTTTACATAATATTGTGAAGTCACTGTTCTCTATCACCAACCTTCATTTGTGTTTTCTTTTTCTTTTTCTCTTTTGATTATTTTTACTGCAAGTCAATGCCAGTTACATAACTGTTTTGGTCCAGTTGGATAAGCTTGCTCACCTTGGGGAGAGGAAGAGCTTTGTGGAGCCCTGAGACACTTCAGGGACAAAAACACTCAACAGTCATTTACACCTTTAATGAGAGGTGTTAGGGTGCGTTGTGTCATTGCATCATAACATCATAAGGTAAACACTGTTTAGGCACCTTTATGATTAAATGTATACAGAAAACAAGTGAGTAGAACATTATCTAAAACCTCTAACATTTTGTCCCTTTTTGCCACTTTTGTTTCAAAGCAAAGCCATACCAACAATACTCACGTCTCTTATCAGCTGACTTCAAGCTGTGCTAAGAATGAAAGCGAGTGAGACATTGACTCATACCAACATCTACATCAACAAAATCAAAATATCATTTGAACTAGACAAAAGCTGATATGGCATTAAAGGGGAGAGTTAATAAAACTTGATGGTCTTGAGCAAATCCAAATGTTAGCTATGAATACTTCATGCTCCCACAATAAAAGGGTGAGTCTAAATTAGCCAAGAAAGTCGACTACAATCAAGTTGGGCCAGCTTTGTATGTATGGCATGTGGTGGGGTTTGGGGGCATTTCCATCCCCTTAGTCAGACACTCTGATCCTACTGAATCTTGAGCACATAAAGCACATCTTGCAGTCAGCTCTGTCCTTTCTTGTAGACTGCTTCAGTGTTGAGTCTTCAGTCCAGTCGGTTGTCCAGCTGAACACCGAGGATTTTAGATTCCTCAGTTACCTCCACTTCTTCTCCCATGATGGAAATAGGGTTTGTAATGCCACATCATGTAATAACGCCAAAATATATAATAATGTAATAAAATCAGGCTTCAAAATGCAATAAAACTACACTAAAACTGCATTATGTAATAACTGATGCAAAATGTAATAAAATTCTTCAACACATTTTGTTAAACTGACAGCCACATTATGTAATAACATGATTACATTTTGTGGCGATTGTTGCAAAATGTGGTGATTGCTCTTTTTTAGAAATGATAATGTAACGATCACAAATCAGTTCATCCTAATCAGTACATTTGTAATAATAATCATGTTGCAGATACTAATCTTTGAAACTTTGGTCAATAAATGCCAAACTTTTCATCATTTAGTTGCGTATCCATAGCCAGATTCCTCTGTATAAATCTAAACATTGTTCAAAGCAGACAATTATGTACACAACTTTTTGTAACTGATTGGATTTCAGAAAAATGTTAATCTGATCTGTGTGGTGTTAACTATCACCGCAGATCACCCACACAAATACAGGCCACATGTGCGCAACGAGCATGGCACACAAAAACAGCAACGTGGCACTGCGCACCTTAACAGTCAGGTCCTGACCAACACAATGCCACAGAGCATGATGTGCACGGCACAAAACACAGCACCTGTCTCATGCAAGGCCTAATGTGCACAAAGTGACACACATGCACACACACACACACACAATGTCCTGCAAATGTTATTTAGTGGCTGAATTTGCAAGCATTAGATAATGCCTCCTTATTTTTTGTGACGGCCCTGCTGCTTAGTTAATTGCAGCCAGCTGCCACCAGTTTCCTTAATTGTGCTTCCTCACAGGTCTTCCTTAGGGGGCGTGGCCTGTGCTCCTTTTAAGCGCACACCTGCAGAGCTGAATGCAGAGCTGAATGCAGAGCTGAGCTATGTGGAGCTGCAGACTGAGCTGAGGAGAGCTGTGTGGCTGGTGACGGCTCTGAGGTTCAACGCTCTGTGGCTTATGTGGATTTTTCATGCTGCACCTATCCTGACGGTCTGCTGCTGCTACTCTCATCCGGCGTGCCTCACGGGAGAGAGGACACTGGTGAGAGATGTCCGGTGCATTCGGGAGCTACGGAGCTCCAAACCGGGCCAACAAACTCACCTAATCCTAGACAAAAACTTTAATAAATACCTTTTTAAGGTTTTAAACTGATTCCACCGTGTCGTGTCTTCACATATGTTATGGCTTTTGAGCCGGGTCGTAACATATATGGGGGCTCGTCCGTTGCTTAAACAGTAGAAGATAATATATGGGGGCTCGTCCATTGCTTAAACAGTATAAGGT